TCTGTCCCATGGTACATCCCTATTTCTCTGCTGTGTTCAATAATTTGCTGAAATGGCCACAGAACTCACAGAGAATACTTAAGATTTTGGGGTTTTTTGGGGGGAAGTAACAAGTTACCATGGACTACCAGAAGAACAAACGAATCTGTCTTCGAAGAAGTACAGCTAGACTCTTAGAAGCCAGGACGGTGCAACTTTGTCTTTTACACTTTGGATATGTTGTGAGAATGGATCAGTCTATGGAGAAGGACATCATGCTTGATAAAAGGGAGGGTCAATGAAAAAACAGAGAGACCCCCAACAAGATGGATTGGCATACTGGCAGTAACAAGGGGCTCAAAAGTAACAATAGTTGTGAGGATGGCATAGGACTGGGCAGTGTTCTGTTCTGTTGTGTATAGGATTGTTATGAGCTGGAATCAATTTGACGGCACCTAACAACCCAACAACAGGTTACAATTACAGGAGTCCTGGTGTGGCGCTGTGGGCTAATGCATCAGACTGCAAAGCCATTTCACTTTATTTTTTTACGTTTTTAATTGTGAGTTAGTTATGTGATAGTTTACATGGGAGAACATTAGCTTTATATTCATCCTATTGTATTTCGTTTCGTTGCCATGATAACAATCCCCTCCATGCATCATCAACCAACCAAAGGGTATACCCTGCAAGCCTGCCCCTTGGTCGTCAGCACACAGCCCCTCTCCTTCTCTGAGTCTAGAGTCCCCAGCTGCTCCATCTCTCCATGTCATCGTCTTTGCCTCCATTTCTGGCATCACTGTTTCTCTGGGTAGGGTCCTGCTCGCCACTATTCTCCCTTGATGGTCCCAGGGACCTCCACTCCTGGATTGCAAAGTCAATCAGTCCACTCCTTTTGCTACAAAACTTCTACCTTTACATTTCCAACCCTGACAGTCAGTCCTGACAGCAATTATTCACTATTATACTGCAAGAGACCTATCCGCATCTCCTTTCATCAGCCCCGCCCAGGCAGATTGGATACTACTCAGTGGAGATTCTACCTTCCTCTGCGCCCTATGGAACTAGGCCCCTTCTTAAAAGCTTGTAAGCTAGTCACTTCTTGGCCTTGTAAGTCCCCTCCCCCCCCCCCCATTTTGGGTAGCCAATGTCCAAGTTGCCCATCTCTGTCTACCTTGTGTACCAAGGGGTGCAAAGTCATTTGAACTGCAAGGTTGGTGGTTCAAGCTCATCAGCTGCTCCTTGGAAACCCTATACAGGGTCGCTATGGGTCGGAACTGACTCCATGGCACTTAACAACAACTCCCACAAAGGTGCCATGCACCTTAACTTACGTTACTAGTAAGTTACTCTGTTTTGGACTACTGGTGTGGCGCTGCAGCTTTATGTGCTGGACTGCAAAGTCAGATTGAATTGCAAGGTTGTGTCAGAAACCCTATACAGGGTCACTGTGAGTCAGAACCAACTTGACAGCATTTAAGAAGTCCTAGTGTGGTGCCATAGAATAAGCACTAGACCGCAAGGTCTGTTTGAACCATAAGGTCAGCAGTTCAAACTCACCAGCCACTCCTCGAAACGCTATGCAGGGTTGCTATGAGTCAGAATTGACTTCACGACACTTAACAACAACTATAACAAAGATAGCAAACCACAAGGTCAATGGTTTCAGCTCATCAGTTGCTCCGAGGAAGAAAGATGAAGCTTTCTGCTCCTAAAAAGATTTCCAGCCACGGAAACCCTACACTGCATGGAACCGACTGGCTCTTAACAACAACACAGACTATATTGCTAGGAGGACCATGTTAGGTAACTCACTATGCAACCATCCAAGGCAAATTTGTCTCTACTCACCTGGAGCAAGAATCCGGAATAGGAGGAGGATATGGACTGTGTGACTAATTCCCTCCATGAACAACTATATCCTTTGCCATGAGACCAGAACTGGATGGTCCCAGGATACCAATATTGAACATTTGGATCAAAGATTCCGTAGCTGAATCCTGATCCAAAGTAGGAACATACACAATAGAATTTCAAATTCACATGGAATCCAGTCTTTCTGGAGCCACGGAGGCTGGATGAACGCCCAAAACTATAGCCTTAAGAGAATCTTTATACTTTATACCAAAAATATCCCCTGATGTCTTTTTCAAACCAAATTGTTTTAAGCTTACCTGGTACAGAATGTCTGCCTTGAGCATTATATTCTTTTAAGATCTATCTATATGCGATCAAACTGACAACAGCAACTCGTTAGCTAGGAACCTTAGGGGGCAGTGAGTTTATGTGAATGGGAGGAACAACTCAGGAAAGGAAGACGAGAAACTTAGCATTACTCAAAGAGTCTAATATCCCTGAATTCTACATGTAAAAACTTACATCAGTGTATGTTTTGTTCATATTCTCAACAATAAAATATTAGAAAAAAAAGTTGTCATGAAGTCACAATGAACTCATGCGTGTCAGAGTAGAACTGGAAGCAGACACTTTCTTCTGAGGTGCCTCTGGGTGGACTTGAACTCCCAACCATCCAGTTAGTAGCCAAGTGTGTTAACTGTACTATCCAGGCACTTTTTATGGCTTTTGGTAACACGAAGACCCATAAACCACAGAGCTCCTTCAAAGCACACATATAGAAATCCAGAGTTACGAAGGAATCCAGTCAGGTCCTCTGGAAAGATGTCACACACCACCCCAGACACAGTGACACAATCTCAAAAACATTCACATTCTCAGCCAAACACACTTGAAGTTCTTGAATCACACATGGCCATGTGGTCATAAGTCTGTATAGTAAAGAATTAACCTCATCCAAAGAATCTCGGCATGGCGCTGTGGGTTAATGCGCTGGACCGCAAGTTCAATTTAAACTGTAAGATTGCGCAGGGGCACTTTGGTGGTTTGTTGGTAAAAGTCTTGTAATCCACGCAGGAGACCCGGGTCCTGGCCAACGATCCTCAGATGTAACCACTATTTGTCTTGTCACTGGAAGCTTACCCGTGGCTCTGGTGCTGAACAGGTTCCAGACTAAGACTAGGAAGAAAGGCCTGGCAGTTACTTCTGAAAATCAGCCAATGAAAACCCACCTGCAATTCATCATAGAAATGGTGCCAGTCTTGACAGTGTTTCATTTGTGCATGGGGCCCTTATGAGTCCAACTTGATGGCAGCTAACAACTACAATGAGAAGGTGGGCCTTAAATCCAATCCAACCCACTGCCATCCATTATAATGACTACAGAACAAAGGAGAACTGCTCCTTAGGGTTTCTAATACTTAATCTTTTTGGAAGCAAACAGTCTAATCTTTTTCCCTCCCTGGTGGCAGGTTAGTTTGAACCACTGACTGAGTGGTTAGCTGTCTCACTGCCACCAGAGCTTCCTGGATTACTGGGAAATGATCTCTAAACCCTTGGAGTGTCCTACATGGACACTGCATGTCCTTATTGTTAAGTGCTGTCCAGTCGGTTCTGACTCAAAGCAATTCTTTGCAGGGTTTCCGAGGAGCAGCTGGTGGGTTTGAACTGCCGACCTTGTGGTTCGAAGTCCATGGACACTGGAGGCTTTGGGGTATGCAGTATCCGTTCTACCTCTGGAGGGACTGGAAACCAAAGGTCAGCTATGTGTTTGTTTCACCAACCCTGTCTGTGATCCAGCCCCAATGAAATTCCAGACACCAGGGTCTGAATGAGCTTGCCTGGTTGGCAATACTCTATTGTCACGCATCCTTGTGGGAAGAGTACCAAAGCCCATGGTTCCCTGGGACAGAACTCTCAGAAGCTCCGTGTGCAGGTCTTTCCTGCACTCAGTCCGGAGCACTGTTTAACCTGTCATCGGAATAAACTAACCACGGGTAGATAGAAGTCCCTGATGGTACAAATAAATAGTCAAGTGCTCAGCTACTAACAGAAAGACTGGCAATTCAAATGCAACCAGAGGCACCTCAGAAGAAAGGCCTGGTGATTAACTTCTGAAAAATCAGCCAGTGGAAATCCTGGAACACAGGGCTACTCTGACACATGTGTTGGAATTAACTTGACAACAGTTGGGTCTTTTGTGTGTGTGTTATGAATATACTAGCTTTCTGTGATTTTGTGACCCTAAGTACAGCAGAAATAAGGCCTGGTCCTTTGCCGTCTCATAATTGTTGCAGCTCTATGTCAATCCATCTTGTTGGGGGTCTTCCTCCTTTTTGCTGACCCTCCACTTTCCCAAGCATGATGTCCTTCTCCAGGGTCTGATCCTTGCTGATAACATGTCTGAAGTAAAAGATGAGGTTTTATCCTGGCTGTACTTCTTCCAAGACAGAATTGTTGGCTCTCTGGCAGTCCCTGCTACGTCCAGTGTTCTTCTCAAACACCGTAATTCAGCTGCAGCATTCTTTCTGCGTCTTCCTAATTCATTGTCCACTTTTCACATGCATACAGTCGGTCTTGGTGCCCCCGAGTCTTACAAGTGATGTCAGAAGGGAGGGTGGCCCTGTGCCTGCTCTCTTGAGACTCACAAAGCTGGAGTCAGCTGGATCTAGCCTACATCTGTGCCCACCCCAACATACTCCTTGGAAACCTTCTCAAAGCAGCTCAGCCAAATGAGCAACATGGTACAAAAATAGTTTATTACAAAAGAAATCCAACCAAAACGCCTAATAATTTACATTGTTAATCAGTGCCTGCCAAGACCCATCTCTCCTCTCCTTGTCCATCAGGGGAGAAGCGAGTGGCTGTTCCTGGTTTTCCCAGCTCTGGGAGAAGACAGGGAAAGGTGACCATTTGGGTAGAATTCCAGACAGGGGCTCAGTGCCTGAGAATAACAGGGGTCAGAGTCCTGGGGTAGAGGGGACGAGAGGGGGGATGTCTTGTCTCAGAAGAGGGGGCTTATGGTTAGGTGCATGTGCATCTATGTAAATCCTGGTCTCAAAGATTGGGGGGGGGGCAGAGGGAGATCTTCACAGTTTCCAGGAGGGCTGACCCCACAGGGTAGGGACCCCTCCTCATGAGTCCGAGATCTGCCCCCCCCATCCCTCTCAGCTGCCTCCTGGAGCTGGGGAGGGGAGCACGGGCCGGCCGGAAGCTTGGAGCACCCCAGAAAATGGCAGGAAGGCAGGTGGAGATGAGGGAGGAAGGAAGAAGTTGGGGGGAACCATGGGGAATCCAGGGGGATCCTTGGGTGGAGACAGGGAAGGTGAAGAGGATGGTGATGCAGAGAGAAGACCTGTGGAAAGAAAAGAGGTGTGAGAGACCATGTCCAGACAGGAGGGGGCTGGGGGCCTGGACTGCTGGGTCTGAGGGAGGAGGGGCTGGGGGCCTGGACTGCTGGGTCTGAGGGAGGAGGAGCTGGGGGCCTGGACTGCTGGGTCTGAGGGAGGAGGGGCTGGGGCCTGGACTATGTAGTCTGAGGGAGGAGGGGTCTGGACTGTTGGGGCCTGTGGGCAGGGAGTGGGTCTCACCATTGGAGCTGAGGCGGCTGCTGCTCTCAGGAGAGGTGGTGGCGCTGTGCTCAGGGAAAAGCTCTGACTGTGGTGTGGGAACTGATCGTGTGGCCTTCCCCCTCAGGATGTCGATGACCTGTGGGAAGACAGAGGTCAACAGGAGGCCAGCGCTGCCCACACGGCCCTTATCTCTCTCTCCTTGCTCCTGGGCTCAGTCCCTTCCTTTGAACTTTCACACCCACGAACTCATTCATACGCCTGCTCCCTGTTGTTGTTAGCGGCCCTAGAGCTGATTCTAATTTATGGGGGACCCCATGTGTGCAGAGTAGAACTGCTCCAGCGGCTTTTCAAGGCTGTGTGTGACCTTTCGGAAGGGAAGCTCCTCTAGGTGGGTTCAAACCACCAGCTTTTCTGATAGGCCTGTAGCCCAGTGCTTAACCTTTTGCGCCACCTAGTCACCTATGCTTGCTTATTCCTCTCCACCTACTAGCCCCCACACACATTTCAGACACATCCGCGCCTATTCATCTGTCATACAGACACCTGTGCATACACGCGTGAACACCCCCTAGGACACACTCATCCAACAGGCTCCTGAGACCAGGGCCCCCACCTACACCGACCAGCCGACCCCGGCCAGCACACTCACCCGGCGGCTGCGTGCCACCATGAGCGGTGTGTCATTGTGGCAGTTCTTAAGGCCACTGTCGGCACCGCTGCGCACCAGCGTGCGCACGAGTAGGAGGAGCCCGCGACCAGACGCCGAGTGCAGCGCGGAGGTGCCGGAGTACATCTGCGCGTTCACGTTGGCGCCGTGCTGCTGGACAAGAGGGGCGGATTAGACCCGCCAGACCTGGGTGCATCCAGGGGTGGGCTGGAGGCGGGGCTCATGGCGGGTGCCATGACAGGAGCGTGACCAGATGATTTAGATGGGTAACAGGAGGGCGTGGCCTGAACTAGGGGCGTTGCCAGATGGAATAGGTGGCCTTCCCTAATCGGTTTCGCCAGAGTGAGAGGCGGAGGCAGACGGGGTGGGTTGTTGTTGTTAAGTGCCATCGAGTTGGTTCCGACCCATAGCGACCCGGAACAGGGTTTCCATGGCTGTAAATCTTTACGGGAGCAGAAAGCCTCATCTTTCTCCCACGGAGAAGCTCGTAGCTTCGAACTGCTGACCTTGCAGTTCACAGCCCGATTCGTAATCACTACGCTACTAGAGCTCCTTAGACGGGTGGGAACTGGGTCCTAAAAGGGTGACCAAAGCAGCTTGGGCGGGCGGTGCAAAATCGATTAGAGTTGGAGCGGACAGACCTGGTTGAATTAGAGGCGGGAGTCCTAGTGTAGCTCTGTAGGATAAGCACTAGATTGCTAACCGCTAGGTCGGAGGTTCAAACACACCAACTCCTCGGAAACCCTATATAGGATCGCTGTGGGTCGGAAGGAGTCCTGGTGTGGCGCAGTGGGTTAATGCGCCAGACAGCAAAGCCATTTGAACTGCAAGGTCGGCGGTTCAAGTTCACCAGCCGCTCCTCGGAAACCCTATACAGGATCGCTATGGGTCGGAACTGACTCGATGGCACTTCACAACAACAAACTCTACAATAACAGAGACGGAAAGGGTCCAGCTCGCGGATATAATCAGGGCGGGAAGTTAGCGTGGAGACAACGCCAAAGTTAGCAGGCGGTGTCAGCAAGATCAGCCCTGGGAGGGGCCTGGGGCGATGTGGGGTTGGAGGAAGAATGGTCAGGGGAGAGAATTCAGGGGATGAAGCGACTTGAAGAAGGTTCAGAGTCTGAGAAGGAGCCAGAAATGGAAGGAGGGGAGTCCCCACTAGGGGGCGGAGCCAGAGGAGAGGTTGGTTGAGAAGCGAAGGAGTTGGGGGTGCGTACCTGCAGGAGCAACTGCACCATGCTATGGCTGTTGTTTTCCACGGCGTGGATGAGCGGGGAACGGCCGCTCTTAATGTCCTGTGGCAGGAAAGAAGGGTCTTTGACTCTCTCCAAGCTGTGTCTAAGGAGTCGGCAGCCAACACCCCACCTGCCTCATCCAGCCAGTGTCCCGTTAGAACCATCAAGCCCGGTCCCACATCTGTGTAAGGGCGCGCTCCCACATAAGCTCCACCCACAACGCCATATCTCTTTCTTGTACAGGCTCCACCTCTGCTCCTCTGGGGTCCATTCCTCCGCGCGCGTACTCACCATCGCGTCAATATCCGCGCCGCGCTCCAGCAGTAACAAGACGGCTTCGTGGCACTCTGTGTTCACTGCCACGTGCAGGGCGGTGAGCCCTGAATGCGGGGCGGGGGAAACTCAGTTAAATAGGGGGCCCCGGGCCTTGAAGCCCCACAGAGACTCCTAGTCCGGTCCCCACCCCATTCTCCCTCGCGCTTCATACTCACCATCGTAGTTGCGGGCCTCTAGGTCCACAGTGCCGGGGGCCGCGCTATCCAACAGAGTCCTCAGACAAGTCGCACTGCGATGTTCGCACGCCAGGTGAACTGCAGTCTGCCCGTGGCGGTCCAGCGCCATGGGGCTAGCGCCGGCCATCACCAACAACCGAACCACTGACGGCAGCGTGGTGATTACCGCCAGATGCAGTGGGGTCTGCGGGAAGGCATTTATGAGGGGACCCATGTCTTACCCGAGCTCCAGTCCACCCTCCCTTAGAATATCTAAATCCTGACGCCCAAAACCAGAAGTCTGGGGCACCTCTTCTTATCCAACACCGGAATTCTGGGTCCCCAGCCCCATCCCTCCCTTAGGAGTATGGGGGCACTTCCCTGCTAGAGTCAAGACTTCAGTCCCCTCCTATATCAGACCCCTCCCCCCAGTCCCAACCCCCAGCTCCCCAGCTCACCTGCCGAAGGTTGTTATAGATGTCCAGCTCTCGGCCCCCATGCTGGAAGAGGGTGACTAGCCGGTGCACAGCTGGCAGGTTGCCTTGGACCACAGCTATGTGGAGGGGCCTGGAGAGGGAAGAATCAAGAAATCACAGGCCCGAAGGATTGTTTGCCTCTTAGCTGTATTAACTCCAAGATGTGCTGGCTACTTTGGAAGGATCTGTAGAATCCAGCCATTTCTTCCCAGACCCTCCAATCTGGTTGAGCAGCTATCGTCAATTCCCTATACTAGTAGAACCCTCTGGTCTCCCAGCTAGGAACCCCTATCTGTTCCCTATATGGTAGTCAGAGGGACCCTTTAGTACCTAAACCAGGGCGCACCCCTCTTCACAGAACTATGCGCTCATGTGGCTCGCAAGGCCCTCTACAATCTTGTTTCCCTTTTCAGTGTCCTTTGACCTCATCTCCTTCATTCTTCCACTATTCTAGCCACGGTGGTGGTCTCCTTATGTTCCTCAAATTCCCCCTTTGGTCTTTGTACTTGGCTGTTCCCTCTGTCTCACGGATCTGCAGGACTTGGTTTCCTCAAGAGGTCCCTGCTGGTGTGAACAGTTTGTACTCAACGGCTAACCTAAAGGTTGGTTGTTTGAATCCACCCAGTTGCCCCGAGGAAGGAAGAGACTGACAATCGTCTTTAAAAATGACAGCTAAGAAAATCCTATGGAACAGCTCTACTCTGCAATACATGGAGGTGGCCATGAGTGGAAATCGACTGGACAGCAATTGGTTTTTGTTTTGCTTTGTTCTCCTTGCTCAAAAACAAACCTAATGTCAATTCTGACACAGGCTCACAGTGACACTACACAGATTATAACTAGCATTTCTAAGGCTGTACATCTTTACAGGGGCAGACAGCCTCATCTTTCTCCTCACTCAAATCCCTGCTAAAATGGCAGTGGTTCACTACTCCCTCCCCCTTACCCAGCTTGCTTGTTCCTCTACATCATCACCTGGTATTGTATCTTTTGCTAATTTCCCGTCTGAAGTTCCCCACTAGTATATCAGCTTCATCAGGGAAAGGGATTGTGTCTGCTTGGGTCACTGCCCTGTACCTAGGACAGTGCTTGTCACTGTGTTCAAACCAAACCCTGCCACCCAACCAATTCTGACTCATATCCATCCTATTGAACAGAGCAGAGAAGTCCACATTTTTCATCTTTTGGCACAGTGTTTGTTATTGTTGTGAAGTGCCGTCGAGTCGATTCCGACCCATAGTGACCCTGTATAGGGTTTCCAAGGAGCAGCTGGTGAGCTTGAACCGCCGACCTTGCAGTTCAAACGGCTTTGCAGTCTGGCGCATTAACCCACAGTGCCACACCACAGTGTAGGAGCTCCTTAAACATGTGCTGGTTAAGAGATTCCATGTCACCAGTCATTGTGGTCAGTGCCCCTGTTCCTACCCCAGTCAGGGCCAGTGTGTGAAACTGGTGGGCGTAAGCTAGATATTGGCAAGGTCTCTGAGTACCTCAGGTTCAACCTTCACCCAAGAGACCCAAGATGTACACATGTGATACCCAAGGAGCATGTATGTGGACAGAGTTTGGCCTCAAAGGGAGGTGGGAACAAACTGAGTCATAGCATGGTTATGGATGCTAAATTGTGCAGCCCGGACTCCCTTTGGGACTGAAGGACTCACTCCCTCAGCTTCTGGAAAGGTGGGCAGCTCTCTGCTGTCTCTGAGAATCTCCCTTGGTTGAAGAGAGCTGCTTGCCCAAGGTCACATCCCATAGATGGGCGTGGGCAATGGGCATCCAACAGATGGTCAATATGAATATATAAGGCCCTGCCTCAGGACCTCACCTCTGAAGGCCATCCCTGCCATAACATCCTCTCTTGTCCCTCTTGCCACAATTTGTCCCTCTGTCTAGACTTGCTTCTGTCATCCCCAAGTAGGCACTCCCTACTGGACCTCTGCTCTTCTCCCTGAGACCCCAACCTTCCAACCGTTATTCTGAGCCAAAAGCAATCTGAAATGAGTGTGTGTGTTGCCCAAGGGGACATCAGAGGGCACTATATTGATGGTCAGCTTCCCAGACATGCCCAGCGCTGTAGGATAATGCACTGGACTGCAAGGTTGATTTGAACCTAAAGGTTGGTTGTTCAAATTCACCAGCTATTCCTTGGCAACCCCATACAGGGTTGCTATGAGCCCAAAACGACTAAACAGCGCTTAACAACACCACTGACCTAACAGTTTTTCTAACCATTTCCTAATGTTACAAGATCTAACTACTTTCTTGGTTCTCACAAGTGTGAAAAGAAGTGCCTTCAGCATCTACATTTTGAACCAGTTCCTTGCTGGTTCGGATGGAGGATCAGATGTCCTGCATCCCACAGGGCTTATGAAGCAAGGAAGGCCATGGTTACAAATGGAGTTTCTACCCTTCCTAGCTGTGTGCTGGGGCTGTAGCTTTCTCCTCAGTAGAGTGTAGCCCCAAGGTGGTGCTAATGGTTTGGGCTTGACTGCTAACATACAGGTTGACAGTTCAAACCCACCCAGCTGTGCTGAAGAAGCAAGGTCTGGCGATCTGCTTCCGTCAAGAAATCCCTAGGGAGCCATTCTGCTCTGTAACTCAGAAAGGACTCCACCAACAATGGTTTTCTTTTTCATTCAAGCATAGCCCACAGGAGCATCCACTTCCCAGGAGGTGGTGAAACATCGATCCCGGGACCCTGACTAGTCAAAGCCAAATGTAAAAAGGAAATGTTGGGAGAGGGCCCGGATTTGGGCGGGGCGAGGTGGGGTCCCTGGGAAGGGCGCCCTTGCCTCCCAGCATTTCCCAGGACGCCCGACCTGGGTGCCTAGCCGCAGAGCGGGCGGGGTTAAGTGAGGGCAGAGGGAGCAATGATTTCAGAGAAACCGTCCAGGCCCCAGTTCCCATAAACGCGCGGGCTGCAGGGGGTGGGGCGGGGCTGGAGGAAGTGGGGACGGGAGGGGCGGACCAGCCCTCGGACTTCCAGTAACAGGTCTGCTGGGCGGGGCTCCGCTTCCTGCTCCCGGGGGAGGGAAGCCTGTCTCGCCAGAGATCTTCCCCGGCACCCCAACTCCATCCCCAAAAGGGACCGAGGAAAGGGGAGGGGCTCATACTCAGGAAATATGGCTCCCTTGAGGGACAAAACTCTAATCCTCCAACCTTGGCCTATTCTGGAACTCCACCCCTCAGGAACAAATCTCCAGCTGGCTCCGTTTCCCCAATATCCTGGCATCTTCCCCAAATCTCTGAGACCCAGGATTACAACTCCCCAAATCTTTGGGATTCGGACTTCCAGACCCTAGCCCTTCTAAGCTCTAGGTCCCCAAACTGCTTCCTCCCCCCATTGCTTGCCAGAAATACAACGCCCACCAACCCTTGTCCCTTCTGGGGGCACAGACCTAACAGGGCTGCCTTCCCGGGCCGTCTGCTTACAAGGGCCCACGCTTGGTTTAGTGCCCACTGTCCCCTTCTTGCAAGTCTTACTTTTTAAACAAGGGACCGGACATGATAATTTTGCACTGGGCCTGGGTCTCCTCTAAGTTCCTCATCACGTTCCCTGCCCCCTTGGGGATCAAGGAATATAGCACCCCAAACTCTGCTCTCTGGGATGCAGAACATGTCTCCTATCACCCTTAGAGATTCACCTTCCATCCTCAGGCCCCAGTGGGGAGGAAGGGTGGGGAATGTTCAGATACCCTTGTTCCCTTGAAGACCTCCATCCTCAGGCCCCAGTGGGGAGGGAGGGTGGGGAATGTTCAGATACCCTTGTTCCCTTGAAGACCTGAAGTCCAGCCTCCCAAGCCTTTGCTTCTTTGGGGACTCAGACAAGGCCCCAGCCCTCTCCTCCCCCGCCATCCCCCCAAGCGTGAAGTGGGGCTGAGGCGCACGCAGTCTGGGGCTGGGCCCGCTGCCCATTCCGGTAAAGTCGCGGCCCCAGCGGAAGGGGTTAAGGTTAGAGGGAGCGCCAGGAGGGGGGAGGTTGCGAGTGAGTGACGGGCGCTGACGTTGGGGAGGCAGAGCAGCTGGGCTGCGGTCAAGTTCTAGAGCGAAGGGATTTCCCCCAACAGGCAGCTGAGGCAGAAGTGTTTGCATTGGGGGGAGGGCAGGTGGGGCGCGCGGGGCTAGGGCTGAAGGCTGCTTTCACAGGCCACAAACAAGTCACCCTTGGGGACAGATACAATTGAAGCCCATTTCATGGATGGCTCTCAGAGATACTGGGGTTGGGTGGGCACTAGGCTTTGTGGAGAGTTTTGCATCCCAGGGCACTTTCTCCTGCTGAGTTCTGTTCAAATAACACCCACTCACACACACATGCTTTACTGTGTGCCCTGCTCTGGTCTGTGTACCATATGTGTACACCCCTGCACTGAATTCTAATTGTGATGTTGTTGTTATTTGTTAAGTTCTGTGGAGTCAGTCCCAACTCATAGCTACCCTGTGTAGGCTTTCCTAGGAGTGGCTCGTAGGTTTGAACCACTGACCTTAAGGTTAGCAATCCAGTGTTTATTTTACAACACTATACCAGGACTCCTCTAATTGTGATATGGATTGTGAATAGTCCTGGATTTCCACACAGGGAAACTGAGGTCCAGGAAGATGGAGCCTTCTTTATTCTTGTATGGGGTTTCGGGGGCCCCCAAACTAATTCCCAGAAAGGCACTTTCTAGAAATAATTTCATTTCTTTTTCATAGAGACCCTCACACACTTATGGTTCCTGTTTTGTTTTTTTTTTACAGAAGGGGAAACCAAGGCACAGAGGGGCAAGAAAGTGGGCAGCTGAGATTCAAACCCGACGTGGACAGAATAGTAATCAGTGTTGATAGTCAAGTGTACTGAGGATGGTATAGGGCTAAACCTTCTACCTAATTTTATAACAGCCTCATGAGAGGAACCAGTATGTTCTTCCAACAGCAGGTGATACACTACAGGGGTTGTAAAATCAATTTTGTTGTTGTTGTTTAGTGCCTTTGAGTCAATAGCGACCCTGTATAGGGTTTCTGAGGAGCAGCTGGTGAGCTTGAACCATGGACCTTGCAGTTCAAACGGCTTTGCAGTCTGGCACATTAACCCACAATGCCACACCAGGACTTCAAAATCAATTTTTTGTTGTTGTTGTTGTTATGTGCTGTGGATTCGGTTTCAACTCATAGTGAACCTGTACAGGGTTTCCAAGGCTGTAAATCTTTACGGAAGCAGAAAGCCTCATCTTTTTCCCGTGGAGCAGCTGGTAGTTTCAAACTGCTCACCTTGCGGTTTGCAGCCCGATTCGTAACCACTACTCTATGTCTTCAAATTAATTTAGTGGATTGTGGTCAGCAAGAAAAAAACAACAACAATGAACTAGACATGAATAGAAAATATCCAAAGTAGATCCTATGTAGTTAGGATGAATATTGTTTTGTGCAATTTTTTATTTTCAGTGTGTGTGGGTGTATGTGCTTACTGGATTTGATATAAAATGGTAATAATAATAAACATTTATTAAGCACTTAAGGAATCCCTGGGTTGTGCAAACAGTTAAGCGCTGGACTAAGCCAAAAGATTGGTGGTTGAAACCCACCCAGAGGCACCTCAGAAGACAGGCACAACCTTGAAAACCCTTTGGAGCAATCCTGCTCTGAATATGTGGGATCAGCAGGGGTTGAAATTGACTTGACAGCAATTAACAACTTGGGAGGTTAGTGGCTCCCTAGTATTAAACCACAAGACTGCAAACCACAAGGTTCTCACTTTAAATTCACCAGATGCTCCTTGGGAGAAAGGTGAGGCTTTCTGTTCCTGCAAATGTTTAAAGCCTTGGAAATCCTATTCAGGATTCACTGACTCGTGCACTTAACAAAAACAACTAAGAAAAAATGTTTACCAGGTCCAGTGCCAGGAACTATAGATGTATAATAAGTCAATCAGTAAAATGTATTTCTCACTTTTAAGTTGTGATTAAAAAAATTTTTGGAGGTGAGAGGGGCAAGTCTCCAGATCTAAAAACAGTTCTAGGAAAGATCTGCTCCATGGGTATCCCATTTATTCAGAGGAGAAAGCTAAGGCTTAGAGAGGGAAAGGCTCTTGCTCAGTACTACTACCCGGAAACAGGATTCTAACTCAGGTCCTGGTTAATTAACTCAAAAGCCCAAGCTGTGTTGTGGTAGGTGAGGGGGTGGAGGGCTAGCTGCCTTCCTACCCACCCTCCATTAACCGAGGGCTATCACTTACGTGTCTCCGTCTTCATCCGCGTTGATGGCCACGGCGATGTCGGTGGACAAGGGATGTTCCATCGAGCACAAGATGGGGTACAGAGGGGCAGGCAGGCTGAGCACAGGAAAGGGAGAGCCCATCGTTGGGGTAGGGTACAAGGGCAGAAAAGGTCCTGGGTGGAGGGGGGACAGAGAAAGGACACAAGTGACGACAAGCCCAAAGGCCCTTAACCCACTTCCCACCTCTCTGCCTTGACTACTATAGTGCAGCCTGTCCTTAGCAACCTGTTTCTCTGAATCTCATACTGGATCTTTAAAGCTTCCCCATCCCAGTCCTAGACACCCTCACTGCCACTTGACCTAATCCATCTCCTGTTAGACAAAGAATCCTTCACCAATCCCCCAGGGGCTGGTTACTAAGTGAATCTGTGGCTGAGAGAGATAAGCAATGCATGGAGAGCCAGGCTAAGAGTGTGGGGTATATCTGTATAGGGTTTGGGGGAAAGGGAGGGTCAGAGTGAAAGAAGGGGTTTTGTCAGAAGCCTGTCCAGATCCAATGGTTGGAAAGGACCCTCAAAAAACAAAACACAACCAAAAAAAGCAAAAACACCGAAATCCCTTTCCATTGAGTCAATTATGACTCATCCATGGTAGCAGTCAAATCCACATCCACCCATTGCACAGATGGGGAAAATGGAGTCCATGTTCTCATGCAGGAACTAGGAAAGGGTGGGGAGACAGTGACAGGCTTCTTGATGCTCAGCTTGAGCCTTTCTAGTTGCTGCACTCTGATGGAGTGGAAGGTGCAGAAATTAGGTGAAGATTTGGTGTTAGGAGGCACAAACCTAGACTCCTAGGAGTTTTGGGGGCCACTTGGGGATGATAACGTTGGCATAGCACAGATCCGTGAAAATGGGATGGGGAAAATGGTGTGTGACCTCTGCTATTCCTTTATCCTTGGGGGCCCTCCATTTTTGGACCCCCAAGTTTCCAGGTCCCTACAGGGTCTCTATGAGTTGGAATTGACTCAATGGCACATAACAACAACAACGACATAGCACTTAACAATAATAACAATATATCCAACAGCAGGCCTTAGGGTTCTGGAGCCTTTTGCCTGGAGATCCCTGAATCTCTCATCCTAGCCTTAAATCCTTGAGTCCCAGAATTCTTTAGTCTTCCAACCCTAGATGTCTCCACCCCCAAGCCCTGCCCTTGTGGCCCCGGATGGGACCCTGATTACCTGTGTGACCACACAGAACTGGGAACCCAGAATCCTGGTTCTCTGATTCCCTGGTTCCTTGGGATCTCCACTGTCTGGGTCTCTAGAACTCTGGTCTGTTTACTTAGATTCCTGTGATCCCAGATTTTGTTGTTGTTAAGTGCCGTGGAGTCGGTTCTGACCCATAGCGACCCTGTACAGGGTTTCTGAGGGTGTAAATCTTTACGGAGTAGAAAACCTCGTCTTTCTCTTTCGAATCGTGATCCCAGATAGTGGGGTTAAATGCTGCTAACCCTAAATGCTGCTCTCATAATTCCTCATGCCTTCTGGTATCTGCGCTCCTGAGATTTTGCCATCCCAGGATCTCTAATTTGTCTCCTTAGAACACCAGTCCCGCTCCCCTAATTTCTGTTGACCAGGCAATCTGGGTCTCAGAAAACCCAGTTTCTTGAGTCCAGGCCATGACTCCTCATAACTGGAGATTATCTGAGTCCTTGAGATCTTGTAGAGTTATGGAACCCCCATATCTGTGTCCTTGAGTCTTCTTACACGCTGACTTCCCAATGCCCCATATATGTATCTAAACCCTGTTCCTTAGACCCCTAGCCACAACTGTGTCAGAGGGTCATGGGTTCTGCCTGGCAGGTTCCCCTGCCCCTAGCTCCTATATCCCTCCATATCTGTGTCCCTTGTGTCTTCGGGTTCTGTCCACTTGTCCTGCAGCTCCCCGGGACTTCATATACTTGTCCTGAGCTCTGTCCCGCCTCTGGGGACCATACACCCTGTACAACCCCCATCCCACCCTGAACCGCGGGGCCCACTCACCCTGGTAGTAAAGCGCCTCTGGCCGGGGCAAGCCGTGTGGGGGCCCGGGGACGACCGGCGCCTCGGGTCCACCGCATAGTGATTCCGAGGGGACTCCGGGGCCCGCGGCTGCTTGTGGGGCGGCGGGTTCGGGGGAGGGCGCGCGCAGCGGGCGCTTGCGGAGTGGCAGCGCGGCGCCCGGGGGTCCTGCGGCCTTGGGCCGGGTGCGCAGGTCCACAGGCCCCTCGTCCATGGCCCCCGAGGGGCATCGGGGCATGAGGCCGCCGGGGACGGCGGCCGGAGCGAGTCTCGGCTCGGCTCGGCTCCGCGGTACGGGAGGGTGGTTTCGCCGGGCGTCGGGACTTCCCCTGCCGCCGGCTGAACTGAAGGGACTTTTGTCCGCCGGGGCGGTGCCGGCCGCCCGCC